TCTTCATGTTGTCCTATAATGAGGAGTGTTAGGACAAAATCTTCTGGAGCACACGCGCATGCACAAACGGGCCCTTGAGCGCGAGCACACACACACACACACACACACACACACACACACACACACACACACACACACACACACACATATATATATATATATGTAGTATTTACTTGCCACCCTATGCTGGCAGGATGTGATACAAGGTCAGTTTAATGGTGGAAGCCTAGTTCACACGGGCCAGGTACAAAAAGAGCCTAACTTTCGCAACCGTGGGTTGCGTTAGTATCGCTATTACTAGATGGCTAAACACACACACACACAGACACACATATATATATATATATATGTGTGTAATTGTTGAAACTTGACTAATGCATGGAATAATAATGCAACACAAAATGTACTTAGAACAAAATGTATTGAAACAAGAAAGTGTACACAATATTTACATATAGTCTTTTTTATATTCCTGGTAAGACCGTTCCTGGAGAACGTGTTGACTAAGTTGCAGTCGGGCAGAGTCTCTGGTTGAATCTCTTGATTCCTCCCTCTCTTCCCGGTACCAACCATATTTATATGGTCGGTACTCCACTATGCAAATTAGGTGGATCCTAACACAACAGTAATATATATATATATATATATATATATATATATATATATATATATATATCAAAGAAACGCGATACCTAAGAATTAGAATGAATTTTTAAAAATGAAACATCTTTCTTGAAGCTTTTACTTCAGTTTGAATTTAAAGCTAATAGATTAAATTCACTATTTTCAAGAAATTTATTTTACTGGATTTCAAAGCTAATTTTAATTGACTGGAAGGGTTTCATTTTTTTTTTTTTTGCTAAATTAGCGCACTTTTATATTCGTCTTTCATAGCAACATTTTCCAAAAATAAAATATACTATTCTGAAACTTTATTTGATGAATATTATCTGATTTAAAGTATAATTAATCTGATTTGTTAACAAATGATTTAATTGAAGTTCAAAATATCGCAGAAATCTATTTTTAACACAGCGGTAGCTGTTTATTTAAGCTGTTGACAGGTTTGACATTTTGTTGACAGATTGAGGCTTAATATTATTCTATGGAGACGTTAGCTGTTAAAAAATAATTTAGTATAACGTGAGCGCCTTTTATATATCATTTTAACGAACTCAATAATTCTAAGAAAAATATTCTCCGTAATTTATTGCTTCATTGAATTTTAGATATTTTCTGACTTTAAATTTAATAATCCACAAATATATGAAATTATTTTTGAATATTTTTTTTTGAAAATCTTGGTAAAAATATTTTTTTTGCATCTGATACTCCCACTTACTTAATTTTATGAAATTTCGGAAAATTAAAATCCCACCCTCTTCATATTTATAATAATTAAAAGCAGGAGTCCTTGGAGAATTTAAATTATCACTTTGCTTTTTGTCAAAAAGAAACACCATTTACCTAAAATCTGCTCTAAATCGTCAAATAAAAATGCAATAAAACTATGACATTATATGATTATAAAATCTTTTAATTGATTTTATAAATAAGATATATTAAGGACACTGTTGTCTTAAGAAAAGAAAAATGAATAATTAATTTTTACAAGAATTATTTTCATTATTTTTAAAATTTTAATTGCAATTATTTATTAACTTTCAAATCTTTTAAAATTCTATATTAATTCCATCCTTTTAGTTGATTTTACTATTAAGTAAAAACTAAAACTATATTTACTAATCATAAATTGTAAAGCATAGTACAAATCATCAAACAGCAAAATTTCTCCTTGTCGTGGTAGGACGGCTTGCGGGCTTCAATGACCCCCAGAGCTATGTGGGTGGGGGATTTGGCCCTTAGCAAGTACAACCAATCTCAACAGGTCTGTGGGTTAGGAGCCAGGCAAAAGACTCATTCTGGTCCTCCAGGTTGGGGTTCGTGCAGTAGGCAAATAACCTTAAAAACTAGCTTGTTACAGAAACCTTAACGATATCTTGAAACAACGACATGGCCGAGGAAGAGTTGTCCAAAGTCGAGCGTATGAGGCGTGCTGAATAGGATCGCCCGGAACCGTGTGCGTTGGAGAGGTGCTGTTGCGGCCCTATGTTCCCCAAGGATCTAAGAGACATAATGATAATAAAAAATAATCGTTTGTCAACTTGCTTACCTTGGAAAAGATGCATTGTATAAACGGACCATAATGTCTCTTTCCAGCTGAGGCTGGAGAAAAGGCAGAGAATTTTCGGTAGCCAGTCGATAACACCAACATCAGGGTGGGGTCCTACTTTACGACACCGAAACCTGGCGGGTAATCAAGACCAACACCCTTCAGACATTTACCAACCGATGTCTCAGGAACATCAGGTGGCCGGAAGTCGTCTATGGGACAGAACGAGGAAAGTCCTAATCGAGATTGACATCAAGAAATGGAAATGGGGATAGATAGACCACATACTCCGCAAGTCTGCTTCTAGTGTCACCAGGAAGGCCTTTGACTGGAATCCACAAGGGAAGCGAAGAGTGGCTCGACTAAAAAAGACTTGGTGCAGAAGTGTTGATGCAAAGGGGAAGGCAGCCGACACGACATGGGACCAACTGAAGAGGATCGTCCGGAACCAAGTCCTTTGGAGAGGTGCTGTTGAGAGGCATAACGATGAAGTAAATAAGCTGTATACCACATGAATTCTCGGAAGTTGGCTCTTAAAAAATCTGTTTTCCTAAAGAATTGTTTTAAGAGAAGTATTTTCAAGAAAAAGTAGTACTAGTTACTCGATCACTGAAAGCCGAATGTTTCTTTATAAGGAAACAGCTAATATTACCATTACCAGTATGGATGCTTAGAACACGTGCTACACTTTAATCCTTGCTCTTTCACCAGGGAGTGAAGAAATGTGTAACTCGTGAAGCACTGACTGCTCGTTCAACTGTTGTCTGTATCGCAAGGTAGACCACATTCTGTATACCACATAGATCTAATAAGCTATAATGATTCACATGGATCTAATAAGCTATATCCGTCCTGATGTCAGTCGAAAGATTATGATAAATAATGGTCAGGATATTTGTCGAAAGCAATTCATGGAATAGTTGCAGAAATAAACCAAGTTCAACATGAACCTTCAAGAACATAACATCTCGCAAGAACAAACTCTTAAATAACAGATCACATTACATTGTTTACACGGGTCCTGATGATGTGTCGCCTTGATTTGGTAAGACGGCTTGTGTGCTTCAACGACCCCCCAGAGCTATATGGGCGGGGACTTTTGCCCTTAGTAGGTTCAACCAAGTTTAACAAGTCTGTGGGGTAGGAGCCAGGCTGGAAGTTGTGCAGTAGGCTAACAACCTACTCACTTAAAAACTATCTTGTTACAGAAACCTTAACGATATCTTGAAACAACGACAAGAAGAAGAGTCCTTTAAAGTGGACCGTATGACGCGTGCTGGTGAAAATCCCCCGAGAAGCTTCTTCTGACGACTAAGTCAACAAGGATAGGGACCTGGAACATCAGAAGCCTATACGAGACCAGTAAAATAGCAAGGGTTTACAGAGAAATGCACAGGTACAACTTGAAGATCCTTGGGCTGTGTGAGACAAGATGTAACGGAACTGGGAGAACAAGACTAGCGAGTGGAGACACCATTATCTACTCCCAAACACATAGAATAGCGGTGCTGATGACCCCCGAAGTAACACGAGCTCTGTTGTCCTGGGACTCAGTATCATCACGGATCCTGACAGCAAGTTTCAACACCAAAGGATAGGAAAGTCACTATCTTACAGCGATATGCTTCAATAAATGCCACAGGGTTGGAAGGAAAAGGAACTTTCTACGAGCAAATCCAAGCCATCATGGTCAAAGTACCAAAAAGAGTCCTGAAGATCATTATGGGAGACATGAATGACAAAAGTGGGAGCAGAGAGTATCAACAGAGGAACTGACAATGGGCAGACATGGCATCGGACAATAAAATAAGAACAGCGAACTTTTCAAAGAGTCCTGCACCTTTAATAAACTGGTCATTAAAGGCACCATCTTTGCCCACAAGCATGTGTATAAATGTACCGATTTTTGTAGATACGGATGATCATACACGATATTATCACAAAAAAGAACGATAATTATAAGTTCTGAAAATTTCATTAAAATCCGACTATTATTTGATTTTGATACAGGAAAAAACGAATTTTTTAACCAAAATCTGAAAAGGATTAAAAAAAATTAATAAAATAATAAAAATTACTTTGGTTTTTCCTTTTAATAATAAACATTTTGACGATAAAACTTTGTTTTTATCAAGCTTGGAGACTTCTTTCCTCATGGTATGTTTTTTAGCGAATTTTTGGAGGTGTATATATATATATATATATATATATATAGAGAGAGAGAGAGAGAGATAAATATGGTTACACAATATATATATATATATATATATATATATATATATATATATTCTATTTAGGCAGAAATTCTTCATTTATGCATGTTTCATTAAAACGACAGACAAAGTACTACGATTAAGCATTTTATTTAATTTTTCTTGTGTTCGAACAAGTGCCTTTTTGGGACACAGAGTGTGAAGGAACTGTCGAAATGTTCTATAATTCCGAGCGTTTTCAGCTATACGAAAAGAAAACGTGTTGTCCGGAACACAGGAAAAAAATAAATAAAAGGCTTAATCGTAGTACTTTTGTTTGTCGTTTTAATGAAACATGCATGCATGTATGCATATATATATATATATATATATATATATATATATATATATATATATATATATATACTTCTGCTTAGGTCACAACACTATTTGCCTAAGTCACAACACTTACTAGTTCTACGAAACTCAGCATTCATCTCTAACCCTATTTTCTGGACAATTTGGGACTTCGGACAATTCAAGATGGACTTTTCTCCTTGTCAGAAAAGGATTATTCTTAATTTGATTAAAATTAATCAACACAAAATATCTGTCGTTCTTTACAGTATTTGCCTTTATATGTATTTGTGTATATGAGAGAGAGAGAGAGAGAGAAAGAGGGAGAGAGGGAGGGGGAGAGACAGGGAGACAGAGAGAGACTGGAAGAGAGACAGGGAGAAAGAGGGAGAGACAGACAAGGAAACAGACAGAGAGGGAGAGAGAGAGACAGAGAAAGAGGGAGAAAAAGACATGGAGACAGAGAGAGAGAGAGAGAAACAGTGACAGAGACAAGGAGACAGAGAGTTAAAGGGAGAGATACAGGGAGACAGAAAGAGACAGGGAGACAGAGAGAGAGACAGGGTGACAGAAGACAAAGAGACAGAGAGAGAGAAAGAGGGAGCGAGAGACAGCGAGACAGAGGGAGAAACAGGGAGACGGAGAGAGAGAAAAAGAGAGAGAGACAACGAGACATAGAGAGAGAGAGAGAGAGAGAGAGAGAGAGAGAGAGAGGGAAACAGAGAGAGAGACGGAGAGAAAAACAGGGAGACAGAGAAAGAGAGGGAGAGATAAACATGGAGACAGAGAGAGACAGGGAGACACAGAGAGAGAAAGGGTGACAGAGAGAGAGAAAGGGAGACAGAGAGAGAAAGTGGGAGAGATAGGTAGACAGAGAGAGAGAAAGAGTGTGAGAGAGACAAGGAGACAGAGAGAGAGAAAGAAAGAGAGAGACAGGGAGACAGAGGGAGAAACAGGGAGACAGAGAGAGAGAGAGAGAGAGAGATAGAAAGGGAAAGGGAGACAAGGAGACAGAGAGAGAGAGAAGGAGAGAGACAGGGAGACAGAGAGAGACAGGGGGACAGATAGTGAGGGAAAGAGGTAGTGAGAGGCAGGGAGACAGAGAGAGAGAAAGAACCAGGGAGAGAGACAAGGAGACAGAGAGAAAGAAAGAGGGCGAGAGTGAGAGGGAGATAGAGAGAGAGAGGGAGATTGAGAGAGAGAGGGAGAGAGAGACAAGGAGACAGAGAGAAAGAGAGAGAGAGAGAGAGAGAGAGAAAGAGAGAGAGAAAGAGAGAGATAGTAAGACAGAGACAGAGATCGTTTGCACCTGTGTATTCTAACCGTTTGATCTGTCTTCACCAGACAGGTGAAAACAGATTCTTTCGATTACTCTATTTGATATCTCTATGACAACATCGTCATTTTGTTGTGTTTCTAGAACATAGTGATATGAAACAATAACATCTGATTCTTTCTTGTATTTTATTTTCTCAAGTTTCTTTGATATTCTTAAAAGCCAGATGTTTTTTCGTATTCAGTCAATGTTTTTAGTTTCTTTTTTATAGGTACCTCCACTCTTTTGGTATAAATGTCGACACCTAAGGTTTAAAATAAACGAGTTTCCAAAATGTCTCCAAAATAAAATATATATTTTTGTGAAACTTTATTTGAGAAATATTAGCTGATTTAAAGTTTAATTAGTTGATTTGAAAAGAAAAAATGCTTACTTTAAGTTTATAATAACAGAGAAATAGATTTTTAAAACAAACAATAGCGCGATTAAGTGTTTATCGACTGCTAGTACATTACTTAACGAATTGCTGACAGGTTCATTGTTGTTGTATGACAACTTTATCTGTTAAAATATAATTAAAAAAAAAAATGACCGGTGCGTGTCTTTTTTACATAATTTTTAAGTATTCAGTAATCTTCAAAATATCGTAAAATGTTTTCCGTAATCTAATTTTAAGAACGTTGAAGTTAAATTTACTATAGTCATCACTCTGATCTGATTATGTTGTGTATGGTCGACCATACTTTTGTCGGAGTTAGCACCTCCTTAACTCCCTAATTGTTACTAGGGGTCATTCTCCACATACTATAAATACTGGGCAACTTCTCGCCTTGTTCTCTTTTTCATTTCTTCATTTCAGCGACTATAATGTAAGCTAAATTAGAAGATTCGCGTCTTCCCATTTGTGGAAGACGCCGTGAACATTAAACGCACATACACGTACGTACGAACACCAAAATACGAACATTCACCAAAGAACAGACAGATATTATTGTCTATGTCTGTTGCAAAATTGTGTTGTTTAATACATATATTTGTTTACATATATATATATATATATATATATATATATATATATATATATATATATATATATATATATATATATATATTAGTCTTGTTTGTTTGTCTTCTTTACATCTTCAGTTGGACTTTACTTGAGTCCGGCAATTTTCTTGTTGATTGGACCTTCTTCTAGCAGGAAATAAACGCACCTGTTTCTAATACAACAACACGCAAACACACATTCCCTTCTACACTTTTAAACAGGGGTACTTTACATATAAAAATAAAATTAAAAAAATTCATTGGGGTCAACGACTTTTAATGAGCTTTTGATTTTTGATCCATAAATGTAGTTTTTCAGTTAATAACATATTAACTAAACTTCTTGAAGTAATGCAGAATTTTAAATTATTTAATTAAAATTTTAAAAAATAAAAGCAATTCTTGTAAAAATTAAGTATTCATCGAAAGATTTTTTTTTCTTTAGACAATAATGTCCTTAAAAATATATATAAAAGCAATTTTAAAATTAAAAGTTTTTCTACTTAAATAATGTCATAGTTTCATTGCATTTTTTATTTTACGATTCAGAGCAGATTTTCGGTAAATGGTGCATCTGTTTAAAAAAATTGAAGATTTAAATTCTCCAAGGACTCCTGCTTTTAACTAATAAAACAACTTTTCTTGAAATTTAATGAAATTAAGTAAGTGGGGTGTTTAACATATGTAAAAAAAATTACGAAGATTTTCTAAAACAAAAATTTTCAAAGATAATTTCATTCATGAAAAATTTTATTAAAAACTGACAATTATTTGATTTTTGCAATAATTTCCAAATCTTTTGGACACGTTATTTGAAGACCAGTGGAGGTATCTACTTTTACTGTTCTGTGAACTGTTTTCAACTTTTCCGCATTTCTCAAAGTTGTTTATGATATTCCGTTTCTCTTTGGAGGTAGTATTATTCTTACCATCTATGACAACCTTTACATAACTTTTTTTTTATTATCATTTCACCCCAAGCAAGTCAATACAGCCACTACGACACAAGAGGTTACTGAGTATGAAAGGAAAAAAAACATTATTAAAGATCGAGAACAATAAAACAATTTTAGAAGCTAAAAGGTAACAAACTGACATTGGATTTAAATTTTTGAAGATCAATGTTGAATGGAAACTAAGAGACAGGAAGAGAGTTCTACAGGCGAGAAATGCGTGGGAAGAAACTGCTAGCATAGAATTTGCGGTTACATCTAGCCATTTCAACTGTAAAATGATGAGACCTTGGCGCCAATCTAATGGTGTGCTTAAATTCATAAACTCTAGGTACCAAAGAGGAAAGTTCATCAGAACAATTACCATGAAAGTATTTATAGAAAAGGCACAAGGAGGCTACATTATGGCAGTGGGAAAGGAACTGAAGACGAGATGCCAGGTCAGGACCAATAACATTGCAGTCTTTTTTTGGGATTTTATCAAGAATGTCTGAATATATAACAGAAGCACCAGACCATTTACAATTGAAAAATAATTACCAATTATTATTCTATTATATACATTTATTTACAATATCATCACCAACACTCAAGTTACATAATAAAATCGCTCACTATCAAATAAGTGATTGAAATTATCTATATATATATATTTAAACAGAGGATGTTTGTGTGTCTGTCTGTCTGTCTGTGTGATACCTTTTCACTCGAGATCCATCCGACAGATTTTGACCAAACATGGCACATGCATTGTATAATGTAAGAAATAGGTTCTTAGCGTAAAAAATCCATATTTTTTTAAAAATCAGTAATCGATAAAGCCGAGCAAAATCGATGTATTCAACTTTTTTTTGCAGATTTCGTTCAAACTCGGTATCTAGGTTACGTACATCATGACGTGCTCCACGATACCTCATTTTTATTTCAACACAAATTTTAAACTAAAAACTCCCTCAATTTTTAAGCAATCTAATACAAATTTCTCTCAATTGTAGCCAATAATAAGTCGATTGTTTAACAGTTTTTTAACTTGATAACTGAGTCCATCCATATAGTGTAAACCTGCGTAAAAAGCGAAAAAATGGCGATTTTTACTGATTTCTTTCTTATTTTTCGATTGATCTTTCAACCAATTTTCATCAAACTTCATAATTGATTTATAAATGCATCCTCTTTTACATCCCTGGTAGCACACTGACAAATTGAATTTCAAAAACTCCAAAATAATTGTGGTCTGAAGTGGGTCTTCATGTTGCCTGTTTTACTCCTTCATGTCCTCAGCTAACTTCGATTGAATAAATACAGACTACTTCTGTTATATCAGTAACTTCATTAATTCAAAATGTTTTTTTTTTTAAATGAAATTACTTTAAAGTAATTGAAGGCGATATACTCTGTTACATGTAAACATGATGCTATTTTTTCTCCATTCTAATTGAACGCTTTTTTTGATCGACCAGCTGGGTATATGGATTTTCTGCATTTATGAAGTAAACAAATCGCACGCAAACACATGTATTTGTATGTGCGTGCGCCCCCACCCCCAGGTATAAATATGTGAGTTTCGCAACATTCACACGTATATCTAGTCATAAACTCGTATATATATAAACATCGACGCATATACGATCGGTCTGGGTATGACGATAAACTACACCCGCGTCCTGGGCATGACGATAAACTACATCCGCGTCCTGGGTATGAAGATAAACTACATCCGCGTCCTGGGTAAGACGATAAACTACGTCCGCGTTCTTGGTAAGACGATGAAATCTGGTCGGGAGGTTTTAAGGAGCGTAGAGCCGCCTCTTAGTTGCTGGTGTTCCTGGGTTCAACCTGACCCAGGGTGGTGGTACCTGTTGGGGTCCCAGCTATGGGTAGATGGTTGGCTCCCAAATTGGGGTCAAAACACAATGAAAGTGTAAAAATGGGTTCTCGTACCAGAAATGATTTGTAAAAGAGTTGTTACCAGCGGTGAACTTTTTGAAGAAAAATTATTAACCAGCAATACTTTTATGAATGATGTAAATAGTGTACATAATACCTCATCTCAGAAATATAGACAGATATTTCTCAGTTGGAGAAGACAAAATGTAAATGGTACAGAAGCCTACTGAGAATACCATGGGATGAACTTTTGAGCAACAACGAAGTTTTAGAGAAAATGGAAACAAGAAATACACTTATACTTAACACCAGAAAGAAACTTTTTATCATTTCACCCAAAGTAAGGCATTAAAGCCACGAAGTATATGAATAAAATATTATTAAGGAAAGAGAAAAATAAAAGAACAGGAATTAAGAAAACAGAAGATAATGATTGACATTGCGTTTAAATTTTTGAAGATCAAAGCTGAATGAGAAGCAAGAAGCCGCAAGAGAGTTCTACTGGTGAGAAGTACGAGACAAGAAACTGTAAGCATCGAACTTACGTTTACATCTAGCCATTCCAAATGTAAAATAATGAGACCTTACCGTCAATCGAGTACTGCGCTTAAATTCATAAAGTCTAGGTACCATTGACGAATATTCCTCAGGGCAATTGCCATAAAAATATTTATTAAAAAAAAGGCACAGAGAAGCTTCGTTTCTAGGGCACGTAATTAGGTAATTTCAGGCTTAGAAGATTCGACATTAGCAGCACCTATCGAAGTTAAGAGAAGAAAGTAAAGTATAACTTATCTAAAGGGCTCATGTAAATGGTTGGTAGAATAGGGATTGGAGAGATGGAAAAAGACAGAATTTACTAGGAGATACAAAGGACAGGAAGTTGTGAAGAGCCATAATGCCCCATGTTCTGGAACATCGAAGAACAACAGTAAAAAAAAAAAAACTAACCGTTTCCTTTGAGGAAAGTTTTGCCATTCATTGACTGAACATTTAGTGTGAATCTCGGTTTTATATTTAGATATATAAAATCTTTTTTCTTAAAACAGTTTTTGAGGAAATTAGACTTTTCGATGTCACTGTGATAAGTCTTTCTCATAATGATAGGAGTTTCCTTCCAAACCTTTTGTTTATAGTAGTGTGGAAAACTAACAGTTCTGTTATATTGTCATTTTCTCTTTTAATTCCACTTGCCACCCGTTTTTGCTATTGTTGTTGCTGTTAGAAGTGTTCAAATAATGTGGTTTTTGTTATTTTTTTTAAAGCTGTTTTTTTTGTGATTCTGCAGCGCCACTCAACAGGGCACGGTAAAGAATTGTCTTTAAGATTTATAGGATTAATTCACTTGGAGCCATTTTTAATAAAAAGGACTGGATATCTCATTATTTTCTATTCTCTTGTTCCGCTGACAGCAGAACTTGTGTTTCGTGCCAGGGAAAAATATCTTCAAAATAACGAAAGAGAGAAAAAAACTCCTTAGTTTTCGACTTGATTGTCACTGCATTTATATATTATTTTATTTCATTTTATGTATTTAGTTCACTTGTCTAACATGAATTTACACCTGAAATAAAATACTATTGAGGAACGCTAGTGTTTTCGCAAAAGGACTTTAGATGAAAGTTCAATTTCAAGTAGATGTTTGACATTGCATGGTAGAAGGCCAATAGTGGAACAGGGAGGATTAATCTTTCATGCCTTATCTTTTAGCCTACGTCATTCGCTCGAATATTTCTTCTTCCACCAAAAGACGACATTCGTATTGAAGACACCACAACACCAAACTCCTTTTTTGGAATCCAAATGTACAATTTCTGTTAGGAAATGATGGTGATGATGATGATAACAACAACAACAACAACAATAATAATAATAATAATAATAATAAAAAGCACAATACACCGACTGAAGCTGCAAAATACTTTAAAAAGGAAGCAAAGACAAATGCAACCGACCAGATACTGAAACAATGGCCAGATAAACCACTTCATGGCCAATACTCTGCCCGTACCAAACAAGCTGACGTAGACAAAACAAGACATCATTGGCTACGTAGTGCAGGATTGAAAGCTGAAACTGGAGGTTGCTGCACAGGACCAATGCTTGTTAACTAGGAATTATCAAGCACATATACTAAAATACTGTGTTAGCCCAAAATGCAGATTCTGTGATAAATATCCAGAAACAATTGATCATCATGTATCTGGTTGCACGATATTGGCACCCACTGCTTATAAAACCTGGCATGACAGAGTGGGCCAATATCTGCACTGGAAAATCTGCAACTTCCACGGGAAGGAAACTGAAAGAAACTGGTATGAACACCACCCAGACCCGGTTACGGAGATAGGACCTGTTACAATTCTAGCAGCTGTGTACCCGAAAAAGGTGGTGCTGTGATGGCTGGTGGGATTAGAAAGTCATTACAAGCGTCTTTGGCAACATCGAACATTGAATTCAGACAGCGGTTAAAGACAGTAATCAATAAAGAGCGTTGGTAATTGACCAATCGATAGAGTGCCATCTTCTATCAAGGTTCTCAATTCTCTGAACATCTAGAAACCTGTAAAGAACCACATACCCTTTCATCGCCCAGAAAGATACCATTTTTTTAGGAAGATTGGATCATGATGCTGCCTCAAATAAGACGACATGTAAGAATAAAAATAGCTGGCCACTCATATCCTCGTTTATATGGGCGGCTCACCAATCCCTGTTGCGTACGCCTGCTCAGACAAATTTGTGTTTGTTCAACAGCCAGAGAGGCCCACCTGTGATTTATACTGCAACTATGATGAGTGGATATTAGTTACAGTTTTGGGGAGAGAGCGCGTGAACAGTCTGAACAAAGCCAGCAAGTTTAAACCTTGGTTCAAGATGTCTTCATGCTACCACAACTAAAATGGCTCTCCAAAGAGTACCGTCAATTCAATTTCACTCACATATGGCTTGGATCAACGCGTGGTATTGTTTTCAGACAATTTTCAAAGATACTGCATTCTTGGATCGCCGCCACCAGCCCGATAACATGATGAAATCACCTTCCTGACAAATCGAGCATGGTGAGATTCGAACCCAGGTCTAATGGTTAGAATGCGAACGTTCAAACCATACAAATATATAAATATTGTCTTTGAGATTCTCTCTAGAAACGCTATGAACTTTTGCTCCGACATAATATTTACTAGAAAAATATTTCTTCGGATTAAAAAACAACAACATGTTCTTGATATCAATGTTATGTTTAAAATAGATTATCTCATGAGTTTTGTTTCAGTGATTAGTTGTGGAAAGTAAATGTTACCATAGGGTTAGAAGCACTTCTGTTGGTTGCTCGGGAGATTTGATTAAATCTTCCAGTCTTCTATCACCTAGTTAAAATGTGATTGTACTTTCGGCTTAAAAGGAATCATATTAATAGACGAAGCGGCTACTATTGTTAATCACTCATCTGTTTTAGTCTTATTTAAAGATAAAACCTGGAAAAGCGATTTAGAAACATCCTCGAATGATAGAATGAGCCAATCCTTCTATCAGCTTCTTTAGAAGTAGATTGCTTATATAAGTTCCGGAAGTTCCAGATTGAATAGATTAGACCTAGGAAACCTCTTTCACACAGTGGGACGTATACATCATAAGACGGGTCGCACTACTAAAAAATCAAGGTAATTTTTTTTTATCAAAGATAGCGCAGCTATTTCCCTAACAAAAGAGCATGCGCAAAAGCATCTGGCTTAGAAATGGCGGAAATATCGATGATATAATATTATCACTAATGGCAAATTTTTAACACACTCTGGTTTGTGAGATTTGTTTTTAATTTATTCATTTGATTATAAAAAAAATATTTATAAAAGAAGTATATTTATTCTCTAGTGAAAAATAATTATCATCGATATTTTTATTATTATTAAATATTGTTATACCAGAATACCTATTCTATTGTAATAGACTCTCCCACAGATAATAACTAGTAGTAGCGGTCGCCAGTTGGGCTCAGTGGTGTTGAGCGAGTCAGTCGATGTCGGACATTGAAGTATCAACCATCACAACTAGATTGCTGCGTCATTAACTCTTATTTCAAGTTCCTAACGTTTTGTACGTCGAACCTAATTTAGGACGATTTATTGAAATACAAGCCTTCACTGTGAAAACTACTCTACAACAAATATACAGCAAATCTAAAATCGGCACTTAGCTCGAAAAGATTTTTCGCTGACTACTGCTGGCGCATTTACCTTCCAAGGCGCATTATGGGCGTCCGGCTACCGCGAACGAAGGCCTTCGACGGACTTACCCACTTGCCTTCCACTCCGGGTTTGAATTCAGAGTTGTCCTTCTCCTAGACCAGTTGCCATCCAAGGCTATAGAACCCAGTCTGCACTGCTATTTACCCATAGCTGGAGAGAGAAGAAGAAGATTCACACCTTTCCCAAGAGTATTAGCACGTAAGTGAATGCAATGGATTCGACTGGAATTCGAACTCGGTTCTCCGATTCCTCAATCCAAGCCGCTATCCATTACTCCACCGTGCCTCCTCAATCCTTACCTCTGCAGTATCTCTTTAGTATTGGCTATCAGGTGAAAACTGCTAGAGGCAAGCCATTGCTCACCTCAACCAACACCAATAAAAGAAAGGAATGGGTTAATAGCACGTCCAAGAAGTGCCGGAATATTTCCAATCAACCATTAAGCAATTCTTCGCAAGTAGGAGGTATGTCGGGCTGGTGAAAGACCAGTCAGAATTTTTCAAGAACAGCCGGGAACCAACTGCGGATTTCCAGTGAAGGTTTTGGAGCAGTTGTCGCTCGACCTTTACTGAATGTACTGGCGAAATATATTTCTATCCTTAAGGAAGGACTTCTACCTTAACATTTGCAGTCATTTGATGTCCAAGGATAAAACATTTTATGTAAGACGGACCTACAGTCTATTCTGAAAAGTGACATTTGCGTACATGGAACAAAATGAGGTTTGAATTCTATCATGGGCAAGTCGGCCACAGGACATAAACAGTATTGAATATGATCACTGCTTAAGAAATTGGTAAAACCTACTTGCAATTAAGAATTGCTTCGACTTCTGCATTCAACTTGGCCAAAAACGTTTTCTTTCGAAGATGACAGAACTTCTTTATATGCCAGCTGAAGGCATCCAAGGTTGCTAAATTAGTGTCAGTTGAATATTAAGGGATACATTCATTAATATTCTGCTCAATTCTAGTTTGCTAAGTGTATAAAGTGGTTTTAATTGTATAAGTGTATATAATAAATATTTCACGAATATTTTAAAGTGTATAAGTGTATATTAAAAATTATATTATTTTAAAGTCTATAAATGTATATTTAAACGTGTATAAGTATATATCTAAAAGTATATTGCTTAAAAGTGTATATTAAAAGTGTTTTATTATAAGTGTATGTTTAAAAGTGTATATTTTAAAGTATAAGTGTATATTTTAAAGTATGTGTATATTTTAAATGTTTATTATTTATTATATATTTAAATGTTTATTAAAAAATATATTATTTAAAAGTCTATAAGTGTATATTTATTATTTATTGTAAGTGTACGTTTAAAAGTGTTTATTTAAAAGTATATTATTCAAAAGTGTATATTTAAAGTGTTCTATTATAGGTTTATGTTTAAAAGTGTACATCTAAAAGTATATTATTTAAAAGTGTATATTTAAAAGTGTAAGTTTAAAAGTGTATAATTAAAAGTGTTTTATTATAAGTACGTTTAAAAGTGTTTATTTAAAAATTTGTTATTTAAAAGTGTATATTTAAAGTGATATATTATAAGTTTAACTTTAAATGTGTACATCTAAGAGTATATTATTTAAAAGTGTATATTTAATAGTGTACGTTAAAAGTGTATATTTAAAAGTTTTTATTATAAGTGTATGTTTAAAAGTGTATATTTAAAAGTATATCATTTGAAAGTTTATATTTAAAAGTATAAGGGCATATTTCAAAGTGTATAAAGTATATATTGCTTTTTTAAAATAAATTATTTCAACTTCTGAATTCAACTGTGTTAAAAAAAACTCTTCTTTTGAAGATTACAGAACTTGAGATTTCTATATATGACAAAGTGAATTCGCTCAAGGTTGCTAAGTATTTATAAATGCAACCATTAGATGAACAATATCCAGCAAATCTCTAATGTACTGATTATACTTGACTTACGAATTTGGTGACTATTTTCACTTGATAAGTATAAGTAGGTTGTCCCATTTTTAGACGCTATAATGTTTATATATATTTTCATAATCTTATATTACCGAAAAAATATGGATGCATTGAAATGATTACGTCGGGATGTTTCTTTTTATTGTTTCACCCTATGAAAGGTGACAGTGCCAATAAACGCAAGGGTCTGGTAAGGGTAAATGAAAATGAGAAAGACGTTAGTGAGGAGAAAATAAAAATAACAGAATTTGAGGAAGAATGATTTAAAAAAAAACTGCATTGATGAAAATGGAAGAGTCAGTGTTTTTAGAGTAGAAAGCTGAGTCGCCCCAGTCATTGAAAACAACTTTTTAAAATTTTTATATAAATTTTGATAAAAATATAAATAAGCGTAGTACTAGATTATCAGTTAGGTCCCATCGTTTTACTACTACTTGTCACAGTCTTCAAAAATTTAAATACAACGTCAATCATCAGTTCCTTCGCCTTGAATCCTGTTCTTTTATTGTCATATTTCTTCACTAAAATCATGTCATTTTCTTTTATTCCCAGTAACCCCTTGCGTCTTAATGGCATTATCGCTTTTATTTGGGTGAAAAGATGTTAAAAAAATAATTAAAATGAACGCTTGTGATAATCCCCCCAAAAACTAACATCTCTTTTCTCAATAATGTCTTCTCAGCTTCCATCACTCTCAGGAACTATTTACGTCTCAGTGGCTTTATAGCCTTTTTTCTGGGTGAGATGATTAAAAAATGGTGAGAATGATATCATCCAGTGACCTGATACCTCTAAGACGGACACACACACACACACACACACACACACACACACACACACACACACACACACACACACATACATACACACAACTGCACCCGTCCTTGGTAAGACGTTAAACTACATCCGCATCCTGGGTAAGACGATAAACTACGTCCAGCAGAAAGGCCTCTGATCAGGTTTTGAGGAGCGTGGAACCACCTCTTAATTGCTGGTGATCGCAGGTTCACCCTGACCCGGCGTGGTAGCACCTGTTAGGGACCCAGCTATGGGCAAATAGTTAATTACCAGCAACACTTTTTTTGGAAAGATTTTTACCAGCAATACAATTTTGAAGGAGAAATATTAACAGAAAAAGATTTTTGACAAAAAAATATATTACCGGCACTAAAGAATTTTGTCGGCATTGAGTAGATCATTGGGGTTGGTGTGTGCCGTAGGACAAAATAAACCAAACCAATCTAAACCAAAGAATACATATTGTATTCATACGAATCTATTGTAAAAATGTTGTCGGCATTAAATAACCCTTAAGGTTGATATGTCGTAAAACAAAATAAACCAAACCAATCTAAATCAAAGAATAAATACTCTATCCATACGAATCTATCCTAAAAATGTTGTCGGCATTAAATAACCCATTGAGATGTTGATATGCCGTAAAACAAAATAAGCCAAACAAAACCAAACACAACTGCACACACACACACACACACACACACACACACACACACACACACACACACACACATACATACACATATCTACGCACACACAGCTACAAACACACAGACATACACATTTTCCATGAAGACATGTTTTATCCTGTTAGCCTTTAACATAGCCGGCGTTAATCTGTAAAAATACTGAAATAAACAAAGTCGAGACGAAAATAAATCGCGAGTATTTTTGAAGCTAGAAATATGAAAGGCAAATCAATAATTGAACTTAGAATCAAAGTACTTTATCGATCTCTCTATTGGCTTTTCTTTTTCCGGTTAATCGAAGCCGTAAATCTCAGAGTCTCATTCTCTTTCGAAGTTTGAAGAGATGATCCTAAAAAAAAAAACATTTCCAAAGTTGATCCGACTGAGACAACTTCAGCTATTATCTGTTTTTCTTTCTTTTCCTCGTCTTCTTTGTCGATGCCGTTTGAAATCCAATTGGATCGACCTTCTTCGATCTCAATAGCGATACTGAAATCAATCAAATCGAATAAAATATGAGAATCTGGCCGACTGGGTCACCGACATTCTTCTTCTTCTATTTGCTGTGCCCCTACAGGGCGGAGGCGATCATGGCTCTCCACATTTATCGGCTTACGGCTACATCACGTTGAACTACCGGTTCCCGTACGATCACCGAAGCTAAGCAACGTCGAACTAGGTCAGTACCTAGATGGGTGACCGTTTGGGAATACCAGGTACTGTAAGCTCGGATGTGCGGGTGGTGTAATGGATAATGGCTCGGAATTATTGATCAGAGAGCCGAGTCAAGTGCCCATTGTTTTCGTTATGTTCTCTTCGCAAAGGCTTTTGGGAAGGGTATAAATCCACAGCTTCTCCCATTAGAGTAAAATTGCCAATAATAAATATTTAAAGCAAAATTATCAACAATACATTTTATGTGTAGTCGAAGTCATATAATGGCGCTTAAAATATATTTAGTTGAATCTATAAAAATTGCTCAAAAATATTTAGACTTCGCAGTTAAATGACCCATAGAGATGTTAATATGCCGCTAAAAAATCAACCAAATAACATAAACTTCCTTTCATTCGTAAATCTTAATAAATTTGATCTTTTTGTTATCTCTCCTAAATCTTGTTCCGCCATCCATTTACTCAAGCTCGCTAGGTGGGTTATGCTTTGTTTTCCTCTGTCCCTCTTGTCTTCAATCTGTCCTGTGAGTATCAAATTTTCCAAGCCCTCTTTCCTCATTATGTGCCCTAAAATTTTCGATCGTCTCTTCCTGATCTTAATTATAAGTTTTTTTTTGTTTCTCTTTTCTCTCAAACTTCACCGTTGCTCACATGGTATCCTCAGCATCCTTCTGGAGAACCACATTTCTGCTGTCTCAAGTCTCCCAAGTTTGTAGTCACGGTCCGATTATCCACCAATATGACACATGAGATATGTCGAACAAATTCATTCCTGACTTCCTCTGTATGTAAATCAGCGGCCATATTCGTTGCCTCGGAAGACATTCTTTTTAACCTAACCCTAACTACCAGACCTTGATGCTTTTTGATAAGCAAGGAGGCCAACTCTATCTTAGATAAAGCTGCGTCCTCGCTATCATAGGATTTTACTTCCCGATAAATATTTTGCTCACATGGCATTTGCGCCGCTAATCTATTTAGATTGAGCCGAAGACTATATTCAGCAGCAAACGACCTAATTTTGGATTTTAATCTTTCCTACTACATATTACCAGCTACAGCCTCCGTCAGTTCCCGCTGCAGCATTAGTAGTAACTGGTCCTGGGAATCTTGCTCACCAAATAATGAGTAACCAGCCATTTTAACCTTAGGCTTATCAAAGTTTACACGAACCTGGACGAGCCTATGATCCGAATAAATTATATAATTGAAGCTTGTATACCCCAAGAGGCCTACATCGATTCTAACACTCGGTCGATGTCGTTAGATGCCACCTCCATAACCGAGCTATCTCCTGAAGGTGTTTATTACGATACATATCGACAAAATCAAACTTATTGATAAAGTCCCGAAATGGTTTCACGCCTCGGTTGTTATTACCCGATCTTGGCCCTATACGATCTATAACAGGGTCAAGGACGCCATTCCAATCTGCGGAAATAAAACAGTCTTCTCAGAATGGTCATTAGGTGTATAAGCTCCAACAAGACGAAGAGCCTTATCTTTCATAGTTGCATCCAGCACATAAAGCCTGCCCGCCGGATGTGCGAAGAAAAGTACATGCCGAGTTCAAAGACTTGCTTACCAGCCAGGAATCTCCTCTGGAGTGACCATCAAAACTTGGTGAATAGAGGGGAAACGCCACTGGACAGAATGTAATCACGTGTTGAAAAACGGGTCTCTTGCACACAACAGACATTCAGCCCGAGACGCTGAAGGTCACGAGAGAGCCTCGCTCTGCGAGACTCCTACCTCAGGCCCTGGTCATTCACACTAGCTAACTAGAGTGCCATTATCAGACCGCTTAGGGTTGCTCTTCTTTATTGAACATGGCCGGGGTGAGGACACCGATGGCCTGTCCCATTGAACCTATTCCAATCTCAGTATTGATGGTACTATCATGAGGCAGGCCACCAATGTACCAAGAAAATGTTAATTTCAAGGCTCTACAAATGGAGAGGTGAACAAAAAGCGGGAACAAAACTTTTATTTCTTTCTAATTTAGAACAAAACTTTTATTTCTTTCTAATTTACACTATTTACATTATTTGGACTATTGTCCTCATCTTTGTTGCCATATTTATTACAACGTTTCGGCCGTTGTACGCTCCGGTCGTTCTTCAGGTGGTTGGAATGTCGAACTGAACCCTTTATTTCGATTACTGGGGTAGACGGTTTTAGCTCCACGTGCCATGTTTAATGGATGTTAGTTATCAGTTATCTCCTGTTAATTCCCCTCTGAAAGTTATCCACTGCCTTAACCGGGTATTGAACTCACACTCTTTGGGTCCTGTCACTGGATCTAACCAACGCCTTTATCCACTATGTCATGTGTTCTTGAGGACATCTGGGTATGAATTTTTTCTAATTTGATTTATTATAAAATGCTAATGGTGGAAACATTCCAAAAGCATCGTTCGCTTCATCCAGCAATGCCCAACATCTGTTGTTTACCCTGACCAGATCTTACAACTGTTAATAATCTTCCAGCCTTGGGAAAATTTCTCGGGTTTTTCACGTCTTAACCATTTAGCGATTTGAAATTAATTCAGGATTTCATGTCTTTAATTTTTCAAGATTGAGATAATCCCCTCTCTTCGTGATTTTTGTAACCCGGCACACGTCTTCCCCTGTGTTATAAATGAATTTAGGCTTTTTTTATTTGTTGATTCAGTGGACTTCCTTTCGTATTTTTTGTGAGCCGGTGTGAGTTTGAACATGTGATGATTTAAGGGTATTGTTAGTGGTAGGTTTTTCCTTGGATAATGATTTGAGAATGGAACCGTTCTTTGAGGTTGTAATTTTAGAATTAGTGGAAGATAGGGATCTCACCATTGGAGGAAGAACCATAATGTGTTATTTTGCCGATGGGAAAGACGGTACCAAGGAAGAAGTGCCAATTCTTTTGCGGGGAGACGCTTCTCTTTTAGTGCCTCTTTCAGATTTTATAACTTCTCGGCTTGCTCATATTTTATTTTTTCTTGTTGTCTAAGTTGATCTGTGTAGCTGCTCGGGGAATCGCCCTTAGGACTAGTAGACAGAGTAGTACTGTCTGTGTCATCACCCGTTGGGGACTCTGTGGAACGAGGTCTTGCTGTTCGGAGCTACTTTCTAGCCCTGCCAACGACCTGACATTCCCCCTTTTCCTTCTTCGCAACCGCACAAGCGGCGGGCAAAAGTTTTTCGGGGAAAGGCAGCCGTGAGGCGGACACAAACGGGGCTTTTACCACACTAGTCTTGGTCACTGTTATGCCCATTACGGAAGAGACAGAAGCAGCAGATTCGATAAGGGATGGAGTTGGGTTAGTGGGGTCTAGAACCCGAGAGGCAGCCTTCTCTGGGCAGGAAGAAAAGGGACCAGTCGCTCCGCACTTCCAGCAATTTGGTATACGGCCGGTTACCATAATAGGTATTTTCTGACTCTCTACTATCGACGCAAAATCTTCATCTAGGTTGGCAATTTACTATTCAGCAAGAAAATCATCCCAAGCACACGTCTAAATCAGTGACTGCGCGACTTCAATGAGTCCTGACTTGAATCCTGTTGAAAATCTATGGCAAGAATTGAAAGTTCCAATAAATCGTCGGTCACCAAAAAACCTTCAGGAATTAGAATGAGTAACAATTGAAGAATGGAAAAAATTCCCAGAAAAGATTTGTTCAGATCCCATCAAAAAACATTAGATAACAATTGCAGTTAATTATAAAGATGAGAGGCCAGGCTATTGACTATTAATATTGTGAAAATTGTTCAATTGTGTTCTATTTTTCATACTGTACGAACAATTTTGTCTTTTTCTATTTTGCATAATTCATTTGTCAAATCTGTTGTAATTAGCCTATTGTTCTGAAAATCGAGTTTTATATTCCCTTTTGTGTGCTCATTAACATATACAGATCCTGGCATTATACGGGCATTCTAAGATATGGATAAATATATTCAAAATTGATGGGTGTACAAATAATTTCGTCGTTGTCTGCATATGGGTTTGTTTTTTAAATGCCTTCAGTTCGTTGAATCAGAACAAAAACAACATCAAATATCTCTTATTTGCAAGCGGACTATTCTCCTCATCTTTGTTGTTATTATCCCAACATTTCGGTCGTTGTGCTCTCCGATCTTCATCAGGTGATTGTCGATCTGGGTTTACCTGAAGGGAATTTCGAAATGAACCCTTTATTTAATGTACGTGTCTAGATTGTTCGTGTTCAGCTGATTATGATTAGAAAGAACTCGTCTAATTTCACGGCTATGTGATGGATGCACGAGATGAGAACTAGACGAGATTTCGTCCGAGAAGATAAGGAAAATATTCCGCATGTAAATAATACAAATTATGAAAACTCAGACAGAAATGATATCTCTTGTACTTACGTGCCGAAAATATCCGAATTGATTCTATTACGACTTACTAACAACTAAATTGTTATTTTACTTTATACAGTGGCCTAAGAAAAGATTTTAGCCAGGAGAAAATAAACTACATCCAATTTCAAAATTTAATTACGTAATCCAAATCAACATAAATAAACAGTATTTGGAACTAGTATAGAGTAGGTCCACCAATTGCTAGTTTCTGTGCTTCTATTTGATTTTTCATGGATTTATCAGCAATCGTCTGATCCCTATTTTGCCACTCCTTTAGCAATGTTTCTTTAAGGGTTGCCACTGACGTGATTTTAGTTGCACGGTCTCGAAGTTTTCGGGGAAGGTGCTCCCAAACTTGTTCTATTGGATCCATGACAGGACTTTAGGCTATGACTTGATTCCTTGCGATTCATTCCAGGCCTTTACTACTTTGCTCGTATGGCATGACTCTTTATCTTCTTGATAAAGGTAGACATTCTTGTCAATCTGATTGGTTTCAAATAGTGGGAATAGTCCTTTCTCTAATATTTGACACTATTTTGGACCATTCAACCGCTCGTCAACAAGAATCAGCTAAGATTTCTCTCCAAACCAGACAGCGCCCCACATCATCATTCTAGCCCCTCCATGCTTCACGGTCGCCTGCAGACGTTCAGTGTTCCAAATCTCATTCTAATTTCTCC